GAGATCTTGCACACATTACAGCTTGTATCATAAAGCAAAAACTACATTCACATGCTGCAGTCTAGTACAGCTTTAGTAGACAAAACTAAAACAGCTCAAAATCAATTCATGACTGCATGCAAACCGTGACTGATCATGTAAAATGTTAGAAGAGCATTTCAGACATGGTTATAAGCCACAGGGCTGAGTGAAGCAAAGCTCTACTCTCAACATTATCTGTTTCATGTGATAACCGGAACACCATATCCAATCAATTCCAAAATGTCTCAGAAAATTCTAGGCACAGCCCTAGCAATTCTGCTACAAATAGGAACAGTGGAAAAGTCCAATTCAGAAGAAAATCTGGTACTGTGGGCAGAAGACACTCTCTTGCCCTCTGTTCAGAGGCAACACCTTAACTTGCTGCTGGGGAGCTTGTCAGCAAGCCAGAAATGAGGGTGCCTTGCTAGGATGGCTTATAAAGGGGGAAGCAGCAGCAGTGGATGCCCAGAAAGGACTCGGAGGGAGAGCACAGAAGGGGAGGAGCAGGAGCAAAGATGGTAAAAGAATGAGACAGATGGTCACATCTCACGGTCTACCTTACAATAAGTGAAGGTTTAGATGCGTGTTTCCAATCTGCACTTCATTATAAGTGTGCCTGCACTCTGTGTACCTGAGACCAGAACATTCTTGCTATTGGAGACCATTAGTTGCACCTGCTAGCAAGAATATTCCCATCTCAGTGGCATACAGTGCTTGTGCCGGTACACTGGAATACACCATGGGATCATCAGGGAAAGATGGGATTATTGAGCAGCAAGAGTGAATTCTTGATTTAAAAATTACCAGCAGTCAAGCGACACTATGACCCTGCCCTGATAAAAATCTGAACCTTATTTCTATTCTGAAGTTCTCTCACTTCAACTCAGAGCCCTTGGACTTTGTTGCACCATAGGCCGGTCTCAAGGTGATTTGATTACATGTGGAAGCACTTTCCCAGGGAGAGGGGACCAGGTGTGAAAGGACAAGGCTAGCAGAAAAATGTCTATTCCTTACAGTACGTATTTATAGAGTGATCACATCAATTCCTGAACCTTCTCTTTGTTAAGCTAACTGTATCAGGCCCCTTAAGACTATCCCTTTAAGGGAGGGTTTCCAATTCTTTCATCTTTTACAAGCTTCTAACCCCAACCCCCTCCAACGTATCAATATCTTTCTTGAACTGTAGACACCACAACTGGACACAGGAGTTAGGGAGCAACCAGAGGGAAGAGAGCGTTCCTTGACATTTCCATTAATGCATCCCATCCACCTTTTTGGGCTCTGGGAACTCATGTGCAGGTGGCTATTTTGGAAAATTCAATGACCTATGTTATTCAGGAGACTGTCTGGATCAAGGGTTGACAATAATTTCTTACTTGGGAGGGCACGCTAAGAATTTAGTGAGTGGTCAAAGGCTGCACTCTTCCAGGATATTAATGGAGGGGATGAGGGCTCTAGAATGGAGGGTAGCTGCAGGAAGGTGCGCAGGCTGTAGGAGGGGGTGTGGATTCTGGGATGGAGTTTTGGGGTGCACCGGGTTGACCTGGAGGAGAGGATTGGGATGCAGGGTCCAGAAGGGAGTTATGACCTGGGGCAGGGTGCAGGTGGCCATGCAGGGGTTTGGATTGTGACCTAGGGCAGGAAGGGGTTGTGACCTGGGACAGGAGATTGGGGTGCAAGGTTTTGGAGGGTATATGGGTTCAGGACAGGCTCCCACTGAGTCATGGTACAATGGCAGGCTGAATCCAGCAGTCTGAGAGGCTAGATCCAGCCCATGGGCTGTATTTTGCTTGCCCCTCTTCTAGATGATCACAATGTTCCCTTCTAGGCTTGGAATCTATGAATTATCCACCAGGACCCCCAAAGATCTGACTCCTAGGCTAGCAGCTCCCATTCTGTTAAGTATGGCCTGTGTCCGAGTTCCTAGAGCAGTGTTCCTTAAACTTTTTAAGACCAAGGAACACCAAACAATTTTTTTTTAATGGGGAACACCGAGGATTTTTTTTTTGTTGAGCAAAAAAATAAAAATAAAAAAAAAAGCCCGGGGGAAGTTATTGAGAGAAAAAAAAAAACTTGCCTGCCCCTTTGAGGGCAGCCATTTTGAACTCTGTTCTCCGTGGCACACCAGTGTGCTGTGGAACACAGTTTAAGAAACACTGTCCTTGAGTGGCGATAAGAGACGGAGTGCTGTGGGATGGGGCGGGAGAGTTTGGGAAGGGGGCCACACAAAGACTTGTGTGTGTGGGGGGGGGGGGGGAATGTGGACACAGAGCCCAGGCATGGGGTTGGGTGGAGTCAGAGGGTGGCACGCAAGGAGGTTGGAGGGCCACAGAAGGGAGAAAGGAACCCTGGCAGTTTGCAATGCACTCGACCTACGGAAGCTAAAGTCTGCAACACCCTGAGCTAGATGAGGCCTAGACATTGTTTTGTTCACATGACACTATGCCCAATTACCTCTTCCCAAGCATATTTTTAAAGGAGAATATTAATTTAATCCAACTTGGCCAAACTCTAAGTACATGATAAATACCTCAATCGAGCCACGAAGAGAAGAATTGCTCATTTGTAGAGAGATTCAAATATCCACCAGATGCCACAGGAAGAGAATAAAGCAGGGTCTTTTTTCTGCCCATATAAATATTACATTTACATTGTCAAGCCATTTTCTCCCCTCCAAAATTCTGCTTCAAAAAGATCATCTTTTGTGGCTAGCAAGAAGTGGGAGACAATGTGAACAGTGTGTGTGAACACACTGTCACCTTGGCAATCTGCCCCCCACACAAGTCATTACAATTCTGACCTTTATGAGGCACTTCTAATCTTGCAACTTGTCATCAGTGCCACCCCCTCCAGCCAGCTGAAGGTCTGTTTTAACAGGTGCGTACCTCAAAGGAGAAATAGCCACAGATGCTAGTTTTAGAGCAGCCAACTAGAGAGGAAGGGAATTTGCCAGGGCTCCATCTACCACTCTTCAGAGACCCCTACAGCTGTAACTTATCTGTACATTTTTAGAGGAAAGTATAAATCCTTATGAGCAGCAAAGTCTGCCTCTCCTCCAGCAAAGGATCTTGTCAAAAATCAGAGATTACGCTTTTCCTGTAGCAGGCTCAAACTACCAAGAGGAGCCTCCAACATTCTATTTTCTGCTGCGTCGCATGTCAGGGTAATTTAGGCTTTTAAGCTATGGCTGGCTATTAACTGTCTTTAGTGCTGGCTGTACTCAAAAGTTAACATATATATAAAAGTTAACTCATCCCCTTGTCCCCTAAATCCACCTCCCATCCTAATAGGGCAATTTCATTTACCAACACTAGTCGTGCATTCTTGTCCTGCTTGCTACCCAGGATTTTTGATAGGAACAATTAGTGACAGCATCCTACCACTTTGGAAAAGAAACAGATGTCAGACTGCAGGATGCAAAACAGTTGTGGGAAATATGATGCAAAACCTGAACAAAAAAATCTTCATGATAATAGTTCCAAATGCTCCCACATTCGCCAGGAAGCTGCTAACAACATCCTAAGTGAGCCTTACCACAAACATGGGACAGAAAAACTTCCTTTATTTATCCAAAAAGATGGCTGCCACCGCTACAGTTTGAGTGATGCTCCTAGATAAGGGTTCTCCAGCATCTCTTCTCACCATGGGATCAAACTTTTGCCAGCTCTCACAGACCAACTCATGACTCAGCAGATGAGTGGAACTGCAGTGCATTTAGGGTAGCCGGGAAGAGAAACTCTTTCCATTCAAAATTCACAAAGCGAATCCCAGGAGTAAGAATGCCATATGCTGATCTCAGTGAGTCAGTCCCTCAATGCATGAGATGACAATTTTCCAATCAGTGCTGAGTCCAAGGCCAGAAGGGACCATTGTGATCATCCAGCCCAGCCTCCTGCATAGCCCAAACCACAGGAAATCCACAAAATAATCTCTAAAACAGATCTTGTAGACAAACATCTCATCTTGATTTCAGAACAGTAAGTGATAGAGAATCCATCATGCCAATGACTGACCACACTCGCTCAACAAAATTATGCCTTATTTTGACTCTGAAGTTGCCTCGCTTCAACTTCCAGCCATGGGATCATGCTAGACCAGTGGTCCCCAACCTTTATGGGCTCCCGGGCGCCCGGGGGCGGGGCCACTCACGCGCCGGGCGCCCGGGGGCGGGGCCGCGCATCCTGGGTCACGCCAGGGCCGGGGACGCCCAAGCCCCTTGTGCCGTGGGC